ATATAGCAGTAATTGTGCACTTTGCATGCTCACAAGGATGTAATGGCCGATGATGTATTTCTCTGCAAAACCTGTCAAGAAATTCGATCTTTTTTTGATTGTTAGATTTCAAAAATAGAGATTATCCCCTCTTGCAGCTGATACAATCATTATTATGAGAAAATCCCTTTAAAATAATGTAAACATTATTAGTCTAAGGATTAAAATAAGGTAATGTTAAACAAAGGCAAAGAAAGAAAACAGTCATGCTATTATAGTGAAGAAACAAGCATGTGATAGAGGGGAATCCCACTTTGAGAGATATTAAATTTAGTGTTTCCCCTCACAGACAACGTGCAAAGAATTTCAATCGTTAACCACTTCGGTAAGTTCTCTATCTGTTAATTATTATTTACATGAAATATTTTGAAAAATTTAAATACTTTTGATGTTTTTGCATTTGGTGTTTCTTCTGACAGATAATGTTGGTATCTCTTCTATCTATGTAGAGAGAAAAAAGACTTTTAAAACTGGTAATATGTTTCTCACTGCTTGTATTTAAAAAAGACCGTGTTTTGGATATTAGCACTGTAGTCCAGCTAAAAATAGTTTACACAATTGTAATCATAAAATATACGACAATAACATAGCTTAAATCACAACAATATTCAGGACTCGTGTAGTGTTACGTTTTGTTCATATTCTTAATAGAATAGACGAGGTTGATTTAAAGAATGCCCATATGTGTCTGTGGCATTGAATTTTGTATAAAAGATTCCTTTCCAGAGAGATAGTGCTGTTTATTCTTAAATTTTAAAATATATTTCTTTATTTTTGAAGATCCTTTTGTCAGGAGAAATGACTCTCCTTTTTATTTGGGCATCAGTATTAGTCATAGGATTTGAGTCCTAGTCTGCCACTGTGACAGAAACAGTAGAGGGAGCACATGAACATTGTTTTCATATAGGTCCTATAAAAATAAGAATTTGTACTTCAACAAAAAATTTTTTCAAAGACATTTTAAAATGTTCAGCTGCTGAATATGCTGTACTCATTTCGTAGTGGATGAAAAAAAAATTATTTTAGGGTACAGTGCCACAATTTCACTTCTACTGGTAAAATTTTTTTCTCCATCCCACCCAAATTCCTTTTTAGTCAATAAAATTCACCCATAAGACAGGAAACCCCCCCCTAAGCACTGAACTTCTTGAACAAATGATAGATTTACCAGAGATGATATCATATTCAGAACTATGTGATAAAGTAGTAAGTGGGTGCACGTCTGTCACTTGCGTAGGGTATAGGATGCAAAGTCTCTTCTGATCAGTCCAGAGTTATGAGCATAAGAGTGGCCACAAATAGTGACACAGCTATTAGGTCAGGATGCAGCACTTGATTTAAGGATTGTATAATTACCCCATTCCTACCCACTGAGAAATGCGGCCTTTGAGAACTGTGAATGGGAAATGTGCTTCAGTGCTGCTTCCTGCTTTTTGCAGAGATAATGTAATCTAAATGCAGTTTAAAACCACAAAAATCAGGAAATTCAGAGTTCAGCCTGAGAAAGTCCTCCTTTTCTTGAATGAACCTAGAAATTTTTTGTACCATGTACCTGGTTGCAGATACTGAGTAGGACTAAAGCTACAAGTTAAAATGCATTATATCAAATAGAAGACTTTTCATTTTAGAATTTCCTAAGCTTAATGATTTTTAGCATAGACACTAGATGATATTTCAACAGACTAAGTTACCATGGAATTTAATTTTATATAGTCAACTCACTTCTAAATCTTACCACTGTGTACATTGTGCTGGTAACAGCAATGTGAGTTTCTCAAACATGTTAGTCATGCGGTAAAAGAAACTAATCTAGAAACACAGATAGGAATGCCTAATGTAATCCCTTTGTGCAAAGAGTTATTGGTAGCAAAATATGTGCAGAAGCAGGCCAGAGAAACATGTAAATTGATATAACCTGTATTCAATAAATCTAGGACCAGAAATTAGGGAAATGAAAAACAATAAAACAAAATCTAAAGCTGTAGAAAGGTCACTTGTTTTTAAACCCAGAAGAGCCACGTCATAGTAGCCTTCAGTTTGTAATGCTGTCATTTCACTGTTACTACTACTTCATCCTGCATCTTCTGTCTGGCAGTCTCTTTCTCCTGTAAATCTGTAATACTGGGGAATTTACACAGGACAAGAATTCCAAGGCAGCTTCCCTGGGACTGTATTTTTGGGGGCAACATACAGAAAGATGCGTATTAGAGAATGTCAATTACTGCGTTTTTCTTCTTGTCCTTGAATTTGGTTCATGTTTGCACAACTTTGATTTGTGTGGTTTGGGAATGAAGGAGTCCTTGTTATTTTCCAGCCTTCCTCTCATTGGTTCGCACTCTTACCACAGTCCTCAATTTTTTCATCTGTACTTAAGTATGCCATTGGTGTATGTTGATTGACTGGCAGTTTATGTTAGTGCATTTTCAATGCTAAAGGAACTGCCTGCCCTGCTGATGTATTTTTCTTCTCCTTTTTTTTTTTCAGGATTATCTCTGAGTTTGCAGTTTAGCTGCAAGTCTGAAAGCAGACAATAATGATGGCTTTAGACTGAACTGATCAGTTTATCTTCATAAGAGAACATACTACAGCACCTCTGTGCTTGGATGATCTGGTGTCAAGTATCAATTTAGGAGCCATGAGTAGCTCACATGCTTCTGAAGAAGCTCGGGAAAAGCATATGAATAATGCTTCTTCCATATATATTTGTCCCCTGTGTAAAATGTCTCTGCAAAATCCAGCACAGGTGCCATGTGGGCACAGTTACTGCATGTCCTGTGTTGTCTGGTTATTAAGGTAATCCTATGATACAAAACAGTGATATTAGATACTCTCAATATTGATCAGTTTCTGTTCTTGCAAACAAAACTGAACTGTGCCTAGATGTGATGTCTACACGATATTTGCAAAACCAGCTTTGCTGAAGTGGCTCTAACTTTATGGCTAGCGGCTATTCTGCATTGCAGTAGTCATCTTGTCCTCAGTCCCGTGGAGGAGCCAAAGATCAAAAAGATGTGAAGAGAGTCTTGCTTTTCCGCTAGTACAGATGATCTTTATATGCTGGTATTTAATTGATTTTTTTAGGTTTTGTAAATAAATGCGGCTAATTCATACGCTGTCTATGAAAGAAAGGATTTTATTCCCCGTATTTTCCTTTTGTATCCTTTTTTTGAATTCCTGCAGGTATTCCATTGCTTTTTCATGACACTAACTGATGCTATTTTTATGCTTTACTTTCTTGTAAAAAAAAACAAAACAAAACAAATAACATGCACCATTCCTTATTTGTGTTTTAAGGCATAGTAGACTAAATCAATGTCTACTGTAACTTAGACAGATTTATAACAAATGTTGCTTTGGCACTTGATGACTGAATTCAACCGTTAAAAAGTTTGCCTTGCCTCCAGGAAAGTGGTAGATGAAGGGCCAAATTTCCTTCTCACAGCTGCTGGCACAAATCTACTTAGTTCTCAGTAAAACTGAGTAGCGAGTTTGGTCCAAAGTACAAAGTTGCACACGTTTTTATTTTTATTGACTGGTTGCCCAAGAGCAGTGCATCCAGGAGCTTTAAAATAACTATTTCCTCTCTCTGTCAGGAATATCCTCGATCCAGAGTGTTTAATATGTGGAAAGAAGATAGTCACAGATGATGCAATATTTAATTTTGGCTCTGTGAGTAATTTTCTTTTTAATCCTCCAAACTTTTCAAAGAAGCATGAGAAGATAACACTGTATCCAGTAATAACTGGATAGGATCTCAAATTGCAGTGAGAAGTCCATTTAAACACTTGATGAGGTTGTGTAGGCAGTCTACCTCTAAATATTTCTTTCCCTCTTCTGAACTACGCTATATTGTTACATGAGAGTTGCTGTGTATTACCAGACTTAATTTTCTCCTCAAAGTGATACAACTTCTCATAAACACTTCCTCCTGTTTCTCACATCTGATTGTGAACTTGGACATACTGACTCAGCTGTCTCTGCTAACATGGAGCCTGAGCATTGGTTTGAAGTGCAATGATGTCATTGTATGAAAAAGATGAAATTATATTCAAATGTCGTTATAGCCATGGGTCACACTACTAAGATATCAGTTACAACAATTCCTATTCTTGTTGTATGGAGTAGCTAAGATGGGCTTTAAGAGTGGTGAGACAAAATTCACCATTCCAGCAGATTCTTTATAAATGTATCTATGCATATATATATTATTATTGAAACAGTCCTGCAGGCATGTAAGTAATAATTATTAGGAATTATGCATTTATATAAATGTGGTACATTGCACAGGCAAGTCAGTTAGACCCCGTATAATAAATATTAAGACCTTTTGACAAAGTTAACTTATAAAGCAAAGTTGAAATCTCCTATGATCAAAAATTAAGGGGGAGGCAATCACATCCAGGACTCTGCAACAGACTTTTCTTCTGAAGTTGAGAAAGTTGATTTAAAATCTCATTGTCTGTTTCCAGTTTTGTGAAATATTTTCCTATTTCACAGTCTGTAAAGTGGATGAGGAATCTAATCTTTGGGATTGTCCCCCACAGCGAAGGCAGTATGATGGTTTCATTAACATTAACTTGAGATAATTACATAAATTCTTAAGAAAGTATAAATAATCCTTTTTTAAAAAACTTGAGAAGATTCACTTTATTTTACGTATATAAGCGTGTCATATTATAATGCAAAAATACTGAAAATATTTTTGCTGTACCAAGTTGAAATGCTAGTGATTGATGACTATTTATGCCATATTATGTAGGAAAAACTAAATTAAATTTCATTAATGAAGTTGTCCTGGAGCCAAAAGGCAAGTTACTTACATTTCTTATCCTATTGAAACCTTTTATTCAAGCTCAGCCTGTAATACCGTCAGTATTCCTTTGCTCTTGCTGGTGTTTACCAGATTTGTATTAATCTGTTTGCCAATTTTGTATTCATATTGTCTGTTAGATAAAACCAGATGAAATCAAGAGCAAGGAAGTTGAAAGACTTGCAACCAAGGGTATGAACAAGAATTTTCTTCAGTCTGGACAATCAAATCCTTATAAGGTAAGTGATAGTTAAAATCAAGAAAGACAGTGTAAGAAATAATACTTAGCACCTATTGAGAATGAGGAGTGAATGTCCAAGGCAAAAACTTTGTTATTGCCATATCCCTTAGTTAATATGTTTATACAACAAGGGCAATTCTGCCATGCATGGGAGAATTTCGTAAGACTAGTGAAAAGAAATATCCCACGAGGCTGTTATTTCTACTGTAAATTTAGATGTTCAAAGATTTTCTGTATCTTCTCTGGCTGACACTCTAGAATACCCTGAACATCCTGTATGTTGAATATCATACTGCTACACAGTGCAGTACTGCATAAAAGAACAGTGTTCTGTCTCTCTCTCTCTCTCTCTCTCCTACACAACAGGGATGGATTTTTTTTTTTTTTTTTGCAGGAGTGGCATCTGACCTGAAAAAAAAAACTTAAAATATTCCAAAGTTGGAGGAGATGTTTTTTTATTAACATCTATAGATCTCAGATAGCTTTACAAAGACCAAAAAAGAATTATTAGTGTTGTGATGTGCATAATACTTGGAAATATGAAACCAGAGCAAAGAAAATCCTAAAAAGAGCTTATTCATAGTGGATGCATTTTATGGACCCGAAGCAGTGAATTGCAGAGGAGCAAACTGTAGTACCAAGCAGTTAAATGACTTTTGCAAGGCCACAGACAAGGTCAGTTGCAGAACTGGAAAATTAACTGAAGTACCTTGGCGTTCAGTGTGAATTTCTCAGACCACAGTGATTCCGTAGAGAAAAAAAAGAGAAAACAAAGAAGATGGCTACATAAGCAAAGCAAATATGTTCTGCTATTTCCTCTCTGTTTCAAAGAGGCTCAAATAAATGTCAAGTAATATTTTAAGAACAGGCACCAAAATACATTTTCCTACTAACTGCAAATGGAAAAACAAAAAAAACCTGAAAGAATGTTGATTTTATCAAGCAGCCTTAAAATAGATAAAATCATAATGACAGATACAGTCTTAGAGTTGTATGAAACTGGAACCTTGGTTCCTGTTGGCTTATTCAGAAGTGTCATTTTTGAAATGAAAATTGCACTTTAAATGACATAGGAACACAACTCACTTTTACCTGTGACTTCTGAAATTTAAGTCCAATTGCTTTTTGGTGAGACTGGCTGCAAAGAATCTGTATTGCTCCTGAAGACCTATGAACATAATTTGAAAATTTATATAAAAATGATGCAAAGTGTATCAAATTGTCAATCACTAATCTAAAAAAAAATCTTGACTCTTATTTGTTCTGTCTCTGTTTCTATTCAGAATTCTCTATCCAGTAATCGCTGAGACCTTTAAAATATTTAAAATATATGTATTTTATACATATATTTTTTTACATGTATTTAGATGTGTGTGGTGTGGACACGTGTGTATATGTATATACACAGCAGTGTAGGAAGATTTACCTTCCAAATGTGGCGTAGCATGACTTTCACATCAAAACCACATGGGGGAAAGGTATACCCATGTCTTCATCCATTTGACACGTGAAAATTATGCTGGCAGATTTCCACAGGTTCTAGGCAGTAAGACAGGAGAATACAGTTGAACAGCGTGGGATTGATTTTAGAATCTACTGCCACGTTAACCTTAGTGACTTGTAGTCAGTGCATTCTGAGGTGCTCAGCAATTCACAGGACTTCCCACAGAAAATGGAAATTCTTGGAAAAATCACTGTGTGGATGACTCATATGTATTATGAAATGGAAATTATTTCAAAACACATTCTGTATTTATGTACTTACTGGGCACTCTGGACATCAGAAAGCCCCTTTTATATCTGAGTTGCACATAGTGTTTTTCTATTCCTTGGCTGTTTATGTACAGGTCTCCAAATGTTCCAGGCTTTGAATCACAGGCTAGTAGCTTTAGTAGTTCCAAAGAAGTGCACATTTGACTGCTACATGTTTGTCTTCTATCCAAGGGCCAGCCTCTGTATATGGGATTACTGCTCTGCTTACATATTAATGCACTTGCCCAGAGAGCTTTATGCTTTAGTCAAAATTTATTCTCACTTCCCTAGAATAGAGATGACTGGCCTTGAGTCTGTTGATTCTGGCAAGAAGCCAAGGACCATGCGTAAACAGGATTTTTCTAAAACTCATTTATTGCCATAATAGCACATTATAGTCAAGCTAGCCTCCAAAGTGAACTTCAGAGTTGGTTCTACTGATGTGTACAGATCATCTCTGAATGCAGGGCCCACTGAAGTCAATGAAAAGAGCTTAGCCATTATATTCATAATCCTTATTTATATATTTCCCAGATCAGCCTCTGAGTAAGAAAATTCACCACTTGCCGTTCTAACTTGATTCTCCTTGAATACTCCTGGCAGATATGTAAGACCTGAATTGGTTGAATTCCTGAGCTAACAGCAAATTGAAAGGTTAATACTCTATGTAAGCCTCTTAGTTCTTTTTTTACAGCTCTTTACGAGTTTCCATTTATATTTTATTGATCTTTTAGATAGGTAAGTGTCACAAAATGAACAGATTTGCCTCTTCCTTCATTGCAACCAGAAATTCATCTAATTGATCCAACCTAATAAGTAACTTGAATAGACCAGATTCCACCATATCATGCAGAGTGACACGTGAAACTCGCACTTTTATGGTCTAGTCAGGAAAGCTGCTGTGCTGCTTCTAACTACTGTGACTAATTCAGGAATGGAAGCCAGACATTCTCCCACTCTCTGGCCTTTACTTTTCTAGCAGTACAGAAGTGATTTGTTTATATAATCTTTCTGGATATGCCACAAGCTCTAAGCAGTCTTAGCTTACCAGTGCTGTGTCAAAACTTTTTTTGAATTTGGAATATCCTCTAGTATTAGAAGAAGAAGAATTAACTTGTGGCAGGTTAATGTTCTGGCTTTTTAATACTTCAATATCTTTAAATGACTGTCATTCTTTCCTGGCTGACCTTAAAACATATCATATTGAACAACAGATGAAAGAGAAAATTGCCTATTAGAGTTTAAACACTCAGAGTTTGAAATCATCTGAAAAAGGAAGAATGTTCACTTCATCGTGCTGAAGTGTTTCTTCAAGGTATTTGGGCAACGAAAAGCCAGGATATCACATGGAAATTATTTTCTATCTTTGTATGACAATGAAAATGTTCGATATAGGCACAGCCTGTCTTCTGAGTCCATGGCTGAGACCCTGCATTGCGTGGAGAAATATAAATCCTCGAATCTAATCCTAAGGAAGATTTCATACAAGTTCAAAAATGTCTTTTCATAAGTAGTCTCAAACTGCCTTTTTCACATCCCTGCCAATATATTAACTTATAGTATAGGTGTAGAAATGAGGAGAAGAGATGAGTGAACACAGACTAAACTCATTTTTTAGTTCAACTGAATATTATTTTGTAATTTAAAAATCACTCTTTTTTGAGGGCTGCCAGTTTGGTGTTCATCCATCATGACCGTACCTACAGAGGCTTATTTACAGTCTATGTAAATGTTAATGTTTATGTATGTCTCCTAGCAAAATGTGTTCTTAATCTCCTGCTG